GCGGTTCTCGAGATATATCGAAAAAAGTAAAGGGGGGGCAAAAAAATGCCCCCCCACCGCCTGGAAGGTTAAAGGTGGGATAGTCCTGTGGATGCACCCATCGGCACGCGCTGTTTCATGCTTATCAATTTGACTGTTAGTGAGTTGGTACTAATGGTATGACACATACGAGCATCCGTCTTGGTTTTGTGACCGTTCCGCTTCCGTCAGACCTGCCCTTCCTGACTGAAAAGTCACAGAGTTGGCACTTGACAGTCACATCCGGGCTGGACGTTATCGGTCATCGATAAGCACCTGTCCTATCGACGCTCACGCTTTCACGAAACTACGCTGCATCATGATGCAGTACTCCCGGAAGATGTTAAAGGGACTATCCCACCTTCTAAAATGTTGTTAAAACCAGTTAAATTGTGCCCGACTTTATAGATTGGATGACCAGGAACACGGTTCAGGCATTTATTTTTCATTAAACATCTTAGGCTTCTTATATTCCAAACACAAACTTTCAAATATGTGACGTCACAGCCCAAAATTACCTCCTTCCCCAGGCCACATTACTGCCATAAAGCTGATTCTTTTTACTCTGTAGGCACCAAAACAAAGTTCAGACCAAGTTTTAACCCTCGCCCTGGCAGGGCATTTTTCATAACACGGCCTGGCAGGGGGGGGGGTCGATGCGACCCCCCCCCCTCGCGATTGGCTCCTATAGCACCTAGAAACACCAAATTTGGTAGGTAGGTGGGCCCCCTGGAGTTCTCGCCCCTGTGCAAATTTGGTTGCTCTAGGTCAATATTTAGGGGGGTTTTGGGGGGTATAAATGTAAAAATTTCGCTAAAAACAGGTCAACAGTTTTTCGCTTATAACTTTTGATCTAATTAAGATAGAGCAAAAAGAAAAGCACCAGTAAACTCAGCACGTCAAGGCGCGTCGAATGATATACTTTTTAGCTTGCTTAAGTGTACTTAAAGTTTTTCTTAAATTTTAAGTAAACTTAAATTAATAAATTAAGTTCAAGTTAGCCAAATTGCATCATATCGCATATCATTCGATTCTGCTGATCACGAGGAACACAATGATACCATTTTTTAAGCTCTAGCGTCATTATGTGCCAAGTTATTGGCAAAAACGTCATTTGACCTCAGTTGACCTCATTTGACCTGACCCATGGATAAGTACACCAAACAAAGAAGCACCAAGTGACCTGCTGTTAAGTACTGTGGTTTCAAAGCACAAAAGTGATAGAACGAAGCGGATATCTCCAGTATTTTCCGAATTTAGTATTTTCCCATAGGCTTAACATTACGACGTAATGACCTCTAACTGACCTCAGGTCAGTGACCTCAAAAAACCCGGAATATATGTTATACAACTCGGTGAACTTAGCACATCCTGAAAGTTTGAAGGAAATCAGTCGAAAACTGTGAGTTGGACAGGTGCAAAAAGAAAATTGAAATTTGACCATGACCTTGTACCGGTTTTTCTGACCTGGTGACCTGACCCAAGGTCACCCGGACCTGAAATTTTCAGGTCATATGTAGAAAGGTTGCCCCATAGGCTGTGCCAAATTTGGCGGCGCTGCGCGCCGCCGTTTTTGCGCTATCTTCGAAAAACCTTAGGGGGGGTCGCATCGACCCCCCCCCCCCTGCCAGGGCGAGGGTTAAACGATTTTTCAACGAACAAACCCATTTAAATCAGAATGACTAAACGAGGTGACGTCACACTAACGGTCGCTCCATGTTGAAGATAGGGCCTTGCACAAGGCCCATTTTCAAATGAAGGGAACGAATTTCTTCAACACCAAGAGGCCGCGGGGGTTGCAACCTAGATAGATAGTGGTTTCTGAACCTCGCCGCAAACTTGGCTATCTCAACTCAAACCCCATGTTAAAGGTGGGATAGTCCCTTTAACCCGCGCCCCACTGGGGGGGGGCTATTTATAGCCCCCCCTCCCGTTTTTCTGCAATAACTTCCAAACCGCTTGACGAATCGACGCCAAACTTTCAGTACCTTCGGCTGCATCAATTTGACACCTTGTGTCAAAATTTGAACTTCGTAGCTACCATAGGTCGGCCGGAAATGACGTCAGAGTGACGTCATGTTCGTCCGATTTCGACGCAAAACATTGAACCACGGCAATCGCTCCCAAGAGCTCAGTTTTTAAGCTAGATCCAATTTCTTTGCATGAAAGAACTCAGAATTGACCGCGCTATCAAACTGCTATCTCGGATTTTCAAAATTTTGAAAATTTCGAAAATTTTATATAATAATATTCAAAATTTATATTTTTATATTTTTTTCAAAAAGTTTTTGACTTTTCGAAAAAACCGGAATATATGTGACAGAACGCTTGATTATGACTAACTCTAGCAAGTTTTAGCTAAATATCTTCAAAAATGGCCAAGTTATACGCATTATTGCAAAAAATTCACAATTATTAATTTTTCAAATCAATTTTTCAGTACGTATTTGGCATCGTACACCAATATAAATGGCACCATCGTGTTCCTGAGCTCAAACTGCATCCAATAGACACCTTTTTTGTTGAAAAATTTCAACTTCAAAATTTGACCTTTTTTGACCTGAAAGTGACCTGACCTAAGCTAATTTCGACTCAAAATGACCTTGAATGACACAGACGACATCAAATTCGAAATCTATGGCCTAAATGGACCATAAAACATGTGTCACGTGACCGACGCATGATGTAATATTTTCGTGACCTGTGATGACCTGACCCTGACCTGAAAATCAAAGTACAAGTTTGGTACCCTCAAGGTATCTAGAGCATCTGTTCACGAGTGTGGAAACCAAAAATGAGCCTGATCTGACTTGTAAGACGGCGGCCAGAGCCCAAAATGTGAACAAGCCAAAGTGCTAATAATTTTTACTTTGACCTGACCTGTGACGTCATCGGTGACCTCGAGGTCAATGAAATTAGGTTTCGCTCGACAGTTTTTCCGGGGCTATCAGACGCCGTTTGAATTTTGACGATCGGCCCAGTAGTTTCGGAGTTAGGAGGGGGGGCTATGAATAGCCCCCCCCCCCCCAGTAGGGCGTGTTATACACAGACCCCAGTGGGGCGCGGGTTAATCATGGCTATGACGCGTCGAGTAAATAGATACCGCCTGACTGCATCTCAGGATTGTGGCGCACCTGGGGCTGGACCGAACTGAATTCAACCAGCACATACCTACCATATACCATATAAGTACCATAGGTAAATTGTTGTGATACGGTAGGAGCCGATGGTAATACATCGGTTTGACTCACAACCATGTTGAAGTCTGCTGCGATCCGTAGCAGCATAGCAGGCCGTTAGTAACAGTAAATGGAGTGGGCTTTTCCATATTTGCTTATTATTCCATTAAACTGCATGAGATGCCAATTTTCGCGTGACAAAGGCGCTATATCAGACTCATCCCTCCCGGAAGCGTTCGCAGTGAGCTCCCGGCCCCGCTCGGCGTTGGGTATAATACCGATTGTTGTAGTTGAGTGCGCTGGCGTGTGCTCCGACACCCCCACCGCCGCACAAAAGGTTTTGCCACCGTGCCGCGGCATGTCACGCGTGCGGCCCGCCTTTGTCATGCCGATCGCGGCGCCCCGATGACGCGCCGGCGGTGCCGGCACGCGCCGTCGTCACCCCGTATCGCCGTGCTGGCAGTGCTGGTGCGTCACCGACCGGCGACATCGCTGCGAGCTATTCGAGCGGACCTGTCGGCTCGACAGAGTGCACTGCAAAGGTCAAATTCGCCGTGACAGCTAGCTGGTGGGGTGAGGATGACGTCAGGACAGACCTAGAATGTACGACCTCTGGGTTAACCCTATTCCTGGCGGGGGGGGGGGCTCAGGAGCCCCCCCCCCCCCCTGAGGTTTTTTGGTTACCTATATCTCCCAAACGCTTTGAGCTAGGAAGTTCAAATTTTCTGACTTTTTCTAAAAGGCTTTTACGCAACATTTCTGAAAATTTTGAGTTGATCTGATCTCAGGTCAGGTCACCAGAGGCGGTTTGGTGACCCTACCTCAGAAAAGTTTGCAATCACGCCAGAGCTAGAGTTTTTGACCGATCAATTTCTTCTCTTCAGGCTTTAGTTAGGGTACCAGTATGTGCACTTTGTATATCTCAGAATTTTCATATCTGTGACCTGAGGTCAGGCCAGACTCGTGACCTTTACATTGCAAGCCTATGGGAAAATATTGAAACGCCTCCTGCTTCGTGTAAACGAGTCAAAACCACCCAGTTCTTTCAGTATTACGGAAGATTATCTCATCGGTGATGATCCTGGTGCCGCTAATTGACCGGGGTACCGGCAAAGGTCATCTGAGGTCATGTGACGTCATAAATCGTTTTTCTGTCAATAAATCACGACATGATGGTGCTAAAGACTTGTAAGTGGTACCAAACTGCTCGCCTGGTCAAGGCGCGTCGTTTGGTATGCAGCATGACCATACCCCACAACCTCATTGATGAATGACCTGACCTTGACTTCAGGTCAAATTTTAAATTGACCTGTGAAGGTCATCACATACTTATTTCGCATCGCCTCGGCGAGAGCAACAAAAAATGTATTGGTTTTATGTCTCTATGTTTCTTAGTTTAAAAGTTATATAGGTAACTAATTCCAAAACATTTTATCGTTGATGACCTCTGGTGACCTCAATATTGACCTGACCTGAAAATGTTTTATGTAAAAGTTGTAGATCTTTAAACGACCTATCAAACGCCGTTCGCCGTTTGTCGTTGCGATGTGTAGTTTTTGAGATCTGAAGGGGGGGCCGAATCGCCCCCCCCCCGCCAGTTTCTTGTCCCGGTGGAGCCCGCCAGGAATAGGGTTAAACCAAAGCTGCATTTATCCTACCCGCAAACGGAGAAGGAGGTGTCACAGCACATATCTAATATGGTGGGGTGGGGGTCATGGGGATTACTTTAGGGATGCACTGAGCTTTTTGTGCTGTGTTTTGAACTGAATTTTGAAGTGGCGTCTGGATTTCCTTTTCCAGCAGATAACATGTACGGCACGGGCGGTTCGAGCTGGAGCACCTCCACGGGCGGCAGCTCCAGCTCCAGCAGCTCCAGCTCCAGCTCCAGCGGCGGCGGCAGCATCAGCAACTCGGCCATCAGCCAGTCGCAGGCCGGGGGACGGGTGGAGATGCAGTGCGGCGGCGTCGGCGACCGGGTCTGGTTCAGGGAAGGTGAGACTCGGTGGGGTATCGGGTGCCGACCATGCCGGGTCTGGTGCAGAGACTCAGTGGGGTGTCGGGTGCCGGGCCTGGTTCAGGGAAGGTGAGACTCAGTCAGGGCCTAGTACAGAAACTAAATGGGGTATCCATGGGGACAGGATCCGGTACAGATTCAAATGAGATCCCGGTGAAAGGAAGGTAAGAACAGCCGAGGAACTACGGGGTCTGGTAAAGGCAAGGGCTGACCAAAAGTGGCTCATTCTTTGCGGGGAATGCGAGTTGGGATGATTATAACTGTAAAAAAGATATGAAACGAGGGTGGCTGATGACCATTATGTACTTATTTCGGATCAATTTGTTATTCATATCTCTACTGCCTTTGCTCCTGCCCGCTCACAGTGGTCGTGTCTGACAGGTCTTTCGCCCCTGTTTCAGACGGCGGCGGTCGCCGGGAGCTGGCTCGGAACGGTCAGCTCGGCTCGGCACCCGCCCGGTACCGTCTGCAGTCCTCCGCCGGCTACGACACTCTCACGGTCAGTTGCGTTTCTATGTGGAGTCACGTCATTTCGGTGTGCGGCGATTTACGCTCATGGTAGTGACCGGACGTTCTTAGGCTCAGGTGGCGGTCTCGTGGTAGCCTTCTTGCATGGTGAGTGGTGGTCATTGGTGAGTGGCGTCCTTTTTGTCAGTAATGTTATGCAGCTCGAGTGACGTCTTTTTTAGTGTCGTCCTTTCGGTAGGAGACGTCTTTTGGTGATTGGCGTTCTTAGGGTAAATTACGTTTTTGGTGAACTGAATAATATGATTTATTTTACGTAGAGCGACGCTGTTACAGATGCTTACGTTTTTGGTGAACTGAATAACATAATTTCTTTTGCGTAGAACGACGCTCTTAAGGACCCTCCCACCTTCAAAAAAGTTAATGAATTGGCATGAAAGTGATGTCGCTCGGTTCAGAAAGAGCAAAAACGAATATCTACCAAATTTCATCGAAAAATATTCACCGGTTTTCAAGATATTATACTTTTACTTTTGTTTACTTTTTGGGATCTTCGCTGTTCCTAGCGACTTTATTTGAAAGTGCGGCATTTGTTGCGCGCAAAGCAGCATATACCACCGCGTGCTACAAAACGTTTTAGTCAAACATTTAACGGACGTTCGAAAGCCTGATGACGTCATCAGATTCCCGTAATGGTTAAGAGATAGGGACCACGCTGGTCCCACCCTGCAAGTAAAGGGAAGAAATTTCTTGAACACCATAAAGCTGCGGGGGTTGCGACCAGGATAAATGGTGGTTTCTGAGCCTGGCCGCAAACTTGGCTATCTCAACTCAAAACTAATGTTAAGGTGGGAGGGTCCCTTTAAAGATACGACACGCATCTACTTCCACCGATTGACGTCCGTTCTTCAACGGAAAGTGTTTTTATCTATAATATTACGCTCTTTTGACGGAAGACTTACCTTATGATAACTGACGCTCTTTTGGTGAGTGGTTATTTTCGTGAGTGACGTTTTTCCAGTGAGTGCCGTCTTTTTTAATGAGTGCCGTCAATCTTTTAATCTGGGTGATTTTCTTACAGCGAGCGCCGTTTTTTGCCCCCACCACCAGCAGCCTAAAGATCTTCCGTGTGACTTGTCAATGTTAGAAATGCCACAATTGAGGTACGAATGTAGCGCTGCGCCAAACAGTTAATATTTGACGTCGCGGGTGACTTTGCCCTCAGATCAACCCCACGGAAACTTCCGACACCGGGAAGTTCATTTGTGAGACGAGAAGCAGCAATGGACTGACATCGACACACACTTATACGGTACGTAGGGGAGAGCGGGGCCAGTTGAACCACTTTTTATATATTGACATGCACAGCGAGATCTAGTTGTCATATCGAAAAATGCACAATGCCATGAAAAAATATGCTCTTTTGGCCTTATTTCAAGATATGTAAAATTATGTTTCAAACATATTTTGCTGCCAAACGCATGCTTATAAAACAGCTCTACGCCCGTTTCAAATGACCCCGATGCGAGGGTCAATTGAACCAGCCCATGGGGTCAATTGCACCTATCCTTAACAATGGGATGTTTTCCTCTTTAAGGCCACTTTCTTAAGGAGATATTTTGTCCAGTTTACTTTTCCAAATGCTACATTCAATAGGTCGTTGGAAAGCTAAAAGTGCAAAGTTCCTCATAATAGGTGACATAAAGTACATAGACTATGGTAAAATGGGCGGATGAGAAAAATGAGAAATATCTCAGGCTATAGGATGCTTTCAAGCAAAAGGCTGGAGAAAAAGGGGTCAAAAATTGAGCTCTATTAAACTACTATTTTAGTTTAAAAGCTCATTTCAAAGGTGGACTATTTCCTTTAATGTTTACAGCCCCTGAACAATAACCATTGCAAAGGTCACCGGGGTCCAGTGAAACGGCCTGTGGCCCTGTTTCAACTGACCCTCAGAGAAGCGTTTCAATTGACCCCATCCGCTCCCGCCATCTCGCACGCGCCGTAAAGCACATGTCAAACGAGCTGGAGGGACGGCATCATGCTGAATGAAGGGCCAAATAAGGTGTAATTCCGGAGCCAGGAGTTCTTCTTTCAGCAAACAAAGGTATATGAGATATCACAAAATATTCATAAGAACGATTTCTCCCAAACGCCCCTCAAAAACACAAAAACAAGTGTCAAATCAAAATTACCGTCCGTTTGCCGCCCAAACGCCGTTTACAAAGGAAGTGGTCAAGCGCGGATGCGCAGTGGTGTCGGCAACGCCATATGTTGCATACTGTTGAAAATAAAGCCATGTTTCATCTGACCCCGTGTTTCAACTGGCCCCGCTCTCCCCTATTACCCAGCAACTGATCAGTCAAAAGAGAAACCGGCAAAAGAGCTGCCGCAGAGCGACGGCAGATTTATGCACACACACAGTACGGTACCTATATAACGATACGCCGACTCTCATTTTATCGGAAATCCACATAGCAAACAAATATCAATTTTACCTATACGAAAGCATGGCTATTACCTAGATCTTATTTATGGTAATGAAGTTTTTTTTAAAGCATCTATAGTTATATTTGAATATTTTTTTGTACGACACATAAACAGCGCCTGTAGAAGTTGATTACCGCTGAGTTGACGGTTGTATTCTGTGCCGCTGCAGCTGACCATTGGCAGCGGAGGCAGCGGAGGCGGCGGTAATGGCGCCGCGGGGCCGCGGACGACCACCGGCGCCGCCGCCGGCCTCATGGGGGCCATGATGCTGCTGCTGTAGCTCCGGCGCCCCAGCTGCTGCAGGACGCCCCCGACGGACGCCCTGCTCATGGGCTGTGTGCCAGCGATCTGGCGTCACTATCTGCCCGGATGGGTCGGCGCCTGTTTTGGTTGGCATTAGGAGTGTCTTGGCGTGGCTGCTTGTTGGCGTGACTCTTTCACGGATTCCCAGTCCTGTATCTTGTTTGGAGTGTCGCTGCTGCCTTGTTCGGAGGCCGTTGCTGTTGATGTGGGACGACTAGTCGGATGTTTGATAGTGCATAAAAAAATAGATGAGGTTTATTGAACGGATGTGCCGTCTAGCTTTAGGCTGTTCCGGTGTACGCGACTAAGGGAAAGGATAAACTATTGGATGTTTTTTAGAGAAGGGATGCTTTAACTGAGATCATCTGGGTAAATATTGTTATTGGTTCTTGGCATTCGCACCCCATCCTTGAGCCATTGGTGTACAGGGTATCTGCTATGGAGGTGTGTGAGGCATTCCACAGCCATTTAACGGCGAATGTTGAACATTCGTTACGAGAAGACGCGTTGTTGCATTATTACTAAGTTTTGCCTTGTACTTATATTACGGCCTACATATAACGACGCCATGAATAATGCGAAAAGGCATGAGACAATGTTAGGCAGGGTTCGGCATCTATCTCCTTAGCGATTTAAAAACGTTGTGATGGTTGTGACTTTTTGAATACATGTGTTTTCGATGCATTTGAGGTGTATTTGTTTGCTTGGCTCCTAGCTTGTCCTAGAACGTCAACACAGCATATTAGATGCGAGCAAATGTTAGGTGCTTTACCTTTGATAGCCAACGCGAAATTGCCAGCATTCAGTCGCTAAATTGTATTTGACCAGGTACAGCATCATCAGTAGAAACAGTGGACAATAAGAGTGCATTGGACATTGCAGATGCAGCAAATGCATACATTGATCTCGAAGACTGACTGCATAGTCTTTCCTAAATACTAGTAACTAATCTATACTACGGGAATATTGTTCGACGGTTACACTATCCTCGTATCACAAATATGCCTGAATAAAATATACCATTAAATGCAGGTACTACATAAACTCGCGCATCAGCCTACGCTTGACGTCTCACATTTGGCCACCAACAATATATGATATTCATAAATAATCTGCTTTGGTTAACACAACAGCTGCGCTCACAAACGCGCTAGGTCTCTGTACTGGCACGTCTGGCTGACAGCAGGCCGCGGCGACGGAGTACACTGGGCGGTATCGGGCTCCCTCAGTCGGGTGGCGCCGGGACGTTCCCAGCCTCACACTCTGGTGACAGGACTTCCCGAGCTATCTACAGCCGGGATATCCCGCCGTCTGGCGACTGGAAGTCCCTGCTGTCTCGGGTCCGCCACATTCCAATCAGAGCCGAGAGTTCCATCCCCTTACTAGACTCAGGGCATGTTTTCTGGATTCAGGCATATGACGCGCGCGACAGTCATCACGCGTAACTTGGCAAGCATTGCCTTCGATGGGGGAGACAGTCAGATTGCCCGAGCACTGACACGGCTACGCCGCAAACCACTGGGGAGCAGACGCCAGCTGCCGGCCAGTGGCGGACTGGTGACTGGTGACCGAGTGGTGACCGGCGAGCTCACAGGTAGGTGGTGCGGGAGGCCTGCACCAGGTCCTCAGATGAGGTGGTGACCGCCGCCTCTGGACAGATCTGAACCATCTCCCCGTCTGACCATCATCCGGTGGTGCTGCTCCGGACCGACCGCATCACCTGCGCCGCGGGAGGGACGCGGGTCAGATAGTGACACACGGGAGGGACGCGGGTCAGATGGTGAGGCGGGAGGGACGCGGGTCAGATAGTGACACACGGGGAGGGACGCGGGTCAGATAGTGACACGGGGGAGGGACGCGGGTCAGATAGTGACACACGGGAGGGACGCGGGTCAGACAGTGACACTGGGGAGGGACGCGGGTCAGATAGTGACACGGGGGAGGGACGCGGGTCAGATAGTGACACACGGGAGGGACGCGGGTCAGATAGTGACACACGGGAGGGAAGCGGGTCAGATAGTGACACACGGGAGGGACGCGGGTCAGATAGTGACATACGGGAGGGACGCGAGTCAGATAGTGAGGCGGGAGGGACGCGAGTCAGATAGTGAGGTGGGAGGGAAGCGGGTCAGATAGTGACACACGGGAGGGACGCGGGTCAGATAGTGGTATAGACTGATAAACGTGTCAGGGATGGATACAGGAGCAGCACGAGCGACAAATGAAATGTACCTATAATTTGGGACATTATGCTATCACACCGATATGGATACAGCTATTAAATGGATTACTTTTCGAGGAATCACAAGTTCAAAACCAACTGGCCTCAAGATGTCCGAATATTTTCAAAATACCTACTTTATTTTTTTAGGTGATTTACAAAATAGCTTCAGTCGTTTGTGGTTGCCTACCAGTCTTCTTGACATTTAAATGAAATCGATCGTAAAATGCCGACCCTGGCCAGGACTGGGTAGCCAACCACTGCCAACCAGTACGGCGACGGTGAAACGAAACAGAGCAGGATAGGATCACTCGTCCCTTATAGCATGACCTCACCGGTGACCGAAATGTTTACCCCACATATCCACACATTCGCCAATCAAGCTGCGCCGCCAAGCTCCCGTCATCACCCACTGACGTCATTACCTTACTGATGACGTCGTCGCTGTCGTAGCCGTCCTTCCGGCCACGGGCGACGCAGACGGCGACGGCGGCCGCCAGGGCGACCGCCAGCAGCAGGCAGAGCGCCAGCAGCGTCCACGTGGCCACCTGGAAGGCGTACGACCTCCCCGCCTCCTCCTCCACCAGGGGCAGGGAGTCCAGCCAGAACGCCGCCTCCTGAGACCGGACAGAGACGTCAGGGAGTCCACCCCGCCTCCTGAGACCGGACAGAGGTGTCAGGGAGTCCACCCCGCCTCCTCCTCCACCAGGGGCAGGGAGTCCAGCCAGAAGGCCGCCTCCTGAGACCGGACAGAGGTGTCAGAGAGTCCACCCCGCCTCCTGAGACCGGGCAGAGGTGTCAAAGAGTCCACCCCGCCTCCTGAGACCGGACAGAGATGTCAGGGAGTCCACCCCGCCTCCTGAGACCGGACAGAGATGTCAGAGAGTCCACCCCGCCTCCTCCTCCACCAGGGGCAGGGAGTCCAGCCAGAAGGCCGCCTCCTGAGACCGGACAGAGGTGTCAGAGAGTCCACCCCGCCTCCTGAGACCGGACAGAGGTGTCAGAGAGTCCACCCCGCCTCCTGAGACCGGACAGAGGTGTCAGAGAGTCCACCCCGCCTCCTGAGACCGGACAGAGGTGTCAGAGAGTCCACCCCGCCTCCTGAGACCGGACAGAGGTGTCAGGGAGTCCACCCCGCCTCCTGAGACCGGACAGAGGTGTCAGGGAGTCCACCCCGCCTCCTGAGACCGGACAAAGGTATTATTTATCAGGCCAAATAGCCGGTGAGAAATAAACGTACCACAGGCACCAGGTGAGATATTGTATACGCTAAGTGTAAAAGGTGTTAGTCAAGTCGTACGGCGCGGCCAACGATTATCTCTTTTCAAACAGCATTTTTTGGTGTAATGTCGTGATCAACACGATGTGGTGAGGTCTGCTCGAGTTCGGTCATTGTATGAGGATGCGGCCAACTTTGAAAGTTGCTGTTGGGAGATGCCTTACTTCTTAGATACGCTCATAGGTAAATGACGAGCCGACTCACCCTTGCCCTGTAACCAGGCAGCATGGGCAGTGGCGATACCGACAAGTTGTAGTATGCCACCTGCTCACTAGATGACACTGTCCAGGCTGGTCGGCCCGACGGGTCCACGCCAGCCACCGTCGGCGCCCTGTCACATGAGATAACGTCAGAGAGCTTAATCAGAGGCAGGTGCGCTATGAGACAAGATCGTCAACATGACATAACCTGGCTTACAGTATAAGCGATTGGCATTCATTCCTGAGGGAGCCATCCGTAGTCTGGTTCAGGGAGTGCATGGGGGGGGGGCTGGTTGGCCTGCCCATTCGGACTGGCTCAGCCCCTGGGGTTCCCGCCCAGACCAATGTCTCCCCCTAATTCATAAAATCCTTCCGGCACTGAAATGGCCTTGTCAGACCGAAAGGGCCTAAGCCAACAAAACAAACAAACTCCGTGCGGCGTACCCAGTGCGCGCGAAGTTGGCCCAGTAGGTGGTGAGCACCTCCGACATCAGATTGTCCGAGGCCGAGTGCTGGCCGAACGAGATTGGAGACCGGAACAGGTAGAGCAGGTCGTCACCGTGGCTCACACCTGCGGCCAGTGGCACAGTCACAATATCAGGACGCCGGGCGGCAATGACACCGTGGTAAACAAACACTTAACAGCACATCTGCACTCACTGCAGGGAAGCACTGATGTGCGGCCTGATAGGGAACATATACGAATAAACCTACATGAGGATGTGTATTCCTCCTCATTGCTCCACGTTTCAGCATGGCATCGACATCCAAATGATTCGCGATAGCTACACCACCTCTGCGCCTGTATGCACACATCGCTGACACATTCTCTGTTCTCTGGAGCCGCTGTGTACCAGTGTCCCCCGCCCTACCTGAGTCGAGGAGCGCCGAGTCTAGCCCGCGGCTGCGCAGCCGCTGCGCCAGCGGCCGCACGCGGCTCGGCCCGCCCGGGACGCGGTGCGCCATCAGGTAGCTGAAGACGGGACCGGCGGCCGCGTGCAGACGCACCGTCAGGTCGTGGCAGGTTGTGTACCAGGCGTCCGTCAGTAGCTGTACAGGGGTCGGCAGGGGCACACGGCAGCACAGAGCAGGTCAGCGTCGGTATTGGTCACACTCGTCCGAAAGACTGCAAGTGACCCAGATAACCACATAGCTCGCACGAGTTAAAAAGCGATGAGTAGGTATGTCTATTGGTGAAATTGACAACTATCTTCCAGACTCGTATATTCCCAGTCTATGTCTTTTGTACCTCAGTGAGCCTGGGGATGACCTCTGCTGGCCGGCTGTAGTCGAGGTCGGTCAGGTAGAGTCGTTTGACGGCCGTCACCAGCGCCGACTGGTGGCTGAAGTTGTAACTAAACAGCTGCTCCAGTGTCCAGTCGACCACACTGTGCTCCATGTAGTAGCCGTCGGTCGGCCGCTCCGCCTCCAAATACTGGTCTGTAGAAAGCAGTCAGATGGATATTGGAGCACGCGCCAGTGGTAAAAAATGGTTACGATATCAATAATAAACATCTGACAAGAGTTCAATCTGTAATCAACATTCATTTGCGCGATCTGCAATATAATTTTGATAAGTTTTAGACATAAAACGTTGCACACATAAACTTCAAAAGTGGTTAAGTACATAATAAAGAAGTGAATGTCACAGCTGATGATAGAGCGAGGTATACGCACAGAGGACGGTCTGTAGAGCCTCGTCCCGCACCAGGCCGGCCATAAGCGGCAGCTGGGTGAAGTCGCGCGCCTCCAGCAGCGAGCGGGGCTCAGCGGGCAGCACCGGCGCCGACCGGAGAGCGGCGTCCACCACCGGCCGCATGTGGCCGGCAAAACTGACAAACCTCTGCAACCGACAAACACACACCGGCAAAACTGACAAACCTCTGCAGCCGACAAACACAGACCTAATGAAGCTAACATGTGTCAAACGCACAGACAGGCGCGACTCGGGCAAACTGACACACCTCTGCAACCGACAAACACAGACCGGCGAAACTAGCAAACACATACCCAATGCAGTTAACTGACAAACATATGTCAAACGAACAAACAGGCACGACTAGAGGATAGCGGCTAAACCGGTCACAGAACAATACCTCTGCGGCGCAAAAACAGGCGTTATTAGGGCGCAAAGTAACAAAACCACTTGCCGATGATAAGGCGCTGCACCAGCGGAACGTATGAATCACTTGCTTTTTCGTATCACCACACTAAAAAGTTGTGCTTCTTTCTAGGTAAAATCATTCACCAATCGAAGTTACGCATAACTTTACCGATTACTGAATGAAAAGAGGACGTCATGCACTACGAAGCAAACGATACCAAAACGTCACTGACGCAACAGGTTAGCATATTTAGTGAAGCAGCCTTGGGTACACTGACGCCAGGTGACACGAACGGCCGTCTCCCGAGCCGAGCCTACCTCACCATTGACACTCCCAAACCACGGACCCAGGGCCGAGCCCCTCACCATGCGCCGGTGCGCTGCGCTGACCAGCTGCTGTGCGGACCGGGAGAGCAGACAGTCGCGGTCGCCCCGTCCGCAGTCCAGGTCGTCGGAGAGCAGGGCGGCGGCGTCGAACGGCTCCGGCTCGACGGCCCACGGGCAGAGACTGCTGCCGCTCTGCAGGACGACGCGCTGGAACAGACCTGTCCACACACAAACACTGTCTAAAGAAACACGTATTCGGTTGTAACTAGATGAACACTTGTGAAAAGTGACAGGCTGGGTCTTCCTTTTCACTGTCATTATACGCTCTCTGGTCTTAGCGTGAGTATATAAAATTATAAACGGAGACACGTCTCACCATCTGTGCTCCTAATTACCTTTAGCGCGCGGTGAGAGCATCAGGATGTGCGCCATGGCGGCGCCGGCGCCGTGGCCCACGAGGGTGACCCGTGACGGGTCGCCGGCAAAGTCTCGCGCCGCGTCCCGGACCCAGGAGAGCGCCTGGATGACATCCAGCAGGCCGTAGTTTCCGGCCAGCTCCGGGTAGCCGCTGCTCAGGAACCCTGCCGGCCCCAACAGATACTGGTGGTCACCGGTGGTATAAACGGCGGTTCGTACCGACGCCTGCATATTTATGTGCAAACGTTGGTGTGTACGGTAAAATACTGGTGTACCAGCGTGCATCGCTCAAAACGAAGCATTGATACCTCCAGTAATCTCGAGACTCTGGTCCCACAAATACCCAGCCCAGCACCCTCTGCCTTCCCCTTGTCCACCGGTAGCGGTTGGGCGGCATCGCGTCCCCACTTACCGAGCACGCCGAGCCGGTAGTTGAGCGTCACCAGCACGACGTCCTCCCTCATCAGTCGCTGGGGGCCCAGCAGGCTGGCGGCGCCGCGCACAAAGTCGCCGCCGTGCACCACTACCAGCACCGGCAGCAGGCCGCCGCCGGGCGCACCGCCGCCGCCGCTGCCGGCCGACAGCTGGCCTGCGACAGAGCGGACAGGACGGTACGGTCACAGGACGGTAGGGTCACATAAAGAACAGGCCAGATGTCGTAAGTAATGGATATGGGATCATTCATGACAGTAAGATTATTTATCGAATGGCTGCGTCGACACTTCAAGATACTTGGTTCAATTTCCCTTGCTAACTATTACGTTTAGACCTTCAACGTTGACGTTACAAACCAAGAAGCTTCATAAAAGGTGCATGCTAATTGCTAATTGACATAGCTTTAATTGCAGCAAGGCAGGTCAGTGGCGTCGGCGCCAATGTCCAAACATCTGTCTGTCGATGCCGTACTTTGTTCAACCGTTCATTTTGCGTAATTTGCGGGAGAATAAAAGCTCAAAGGTTTAAGGATAATTGGACGTTTACAGCGGGGGTATCTACCTGGCAGGAAGGGCGTGAAGACGTTAAGGTAGAGGCAGTCTTCTTGTCCCTCCACCGTGCCCGTGTTGACGTCATATTGCGGACAAAAGTCGCGGAACGAGCGGGCGTCCAGGGTGCCCGACCAGCTCTCTGCCGGCCGCGGCTCCTGAGGGGGCAAAAACACGCATAGCGTCATAAAGCGGCGTCACTAGCAGACCGTCACATAACTCTGGAGTGACAGCCATGCCGTCACATATAGCAGTGGAGAGCAACCATACCGTCACATAGGGCGGTAAGGCATACCGTCAGACCGTGTAACATTACGATCATAGCGTCACACAGTAGTGTTAAGCATACAGGCGCATCGCGACGCAAATATATATTGTAAAATAGTAAAGAAAAGACGTTGTCTTTTTGTAGTAGTCATAGGATTCTTCTACACTAGCGTTACAAATTCTTGAAGTACAGACCTCAAATCACTGTTATGCAAACATACGTCACGTCCGCCTCACGGTACTTCTTACAAACTATGCTTCATTTCCAGCCTCCCAGTATTTCCCTCCTACCACATTCTTGGGTTCGGAGTTCGAATAATGCTGCCGAACGGTAAACGGGCGAGACCGCCATTCATTACCGGAGGCAGCAGTCCGGGTCGGGTGGTTAGCGGCCCATTATAAGACTCCACGCTCCGTGGTTAGGCATTATGCACGTGTAACCACCCGGCAGTCAGGGCGGTCAGCAGGGCGTGCAAAAACGGCCACTTCCCCGCGGATCCGTTCCACATAGGCGAGGATTCTCCCTATTCACCTACCGGAAGGAAGTCACCCACAGGCAGGCCCTGAGAATATAGGCCTTACTTTGCATACTCAGTCACATGAGTGAGCCTCTCACAGTGACCGCATTCCACCCCACGACAGACGTAATGAAGGCAACAGAGCGGACGGGCAGCGCTCGCTGATGGGAGTCGGGCAGCCTGTCGCGCATTCCATTACCGGAGCTCTGCCTGTCTCGGAGACGAGCTGAGCGGCGGCCCGGACTATCTGAGACCGTTACAGCTCGTGACGGCCGGAGGAGAGCGCCGTCCGGCCGCCCGGGTGGTATATAGGTACCGCGCGCCACGCACCGCCCACCGGTCACCCACGGGTCAGCGGGCCGGATCGGTCGGACACCCACCGGGTCGGCCGGCACGACTCCTCTGCCCGGTCAGCGGCCGTCTGCCTCCAGAGCGCCCTAACCGCTCGGTCAGGGGCCGCCTGCCTCCAGAGCGCCCTAACCGCCCAGCCAGCAGCCGCCCGCCCGGTCAGGGACCGCCTGCCGAGGAGCGCCCTCATCACCCCGCCGACCGGGGAGAGCACAGCGGGTGGCTCACATCCACCGGAATATCGCTACATTGGATCATATCACCACAGACATCAGATGAGATAGCCACGCTTAGGGAGATCTAGTGAATTCATTTTCTGTGTTCATTCCAACGCCATGTGGAGAAAGGAATGCCGACTAAAACGGCTGCTTCCTTTTTCTACAACGCTCGTGCTGCTTTCCCACAATTATATTACATGTACAGTAGGTCTATTAAAAAAGTCCCCAGCACCAGTGGGCGCTGCCTTCGCTGAGCCGAACCCCCGTCTGCCCGTCCCATATCGCGCCGGGCTCAGGTCAGGTAGGGCCAGCGGGATCGCTCGGTCCGGCCCGCGGGCGGTGGACGGGCGGCCGGTAACGCTTTCCGCCAGCCAGCTGTAGAATCCAACAAACGAGACGGCCACCGCTCAGCGCAGCGAAACCGGTGTTAACCCGCGCACCGACGGGGGGGGGCGGATATCCGCCCCCCCCCCCCTGAGGTTTTTCGCGGATAGCGGGAAAACCGCGGCGCGTAGCGCCGCGAAATTTGGTATGACTATTCTCTCATCAATTTTACACATGGTGTGCAAGTTTGAACCTCTTAACTTTTAAGGTCAGGTCACCAGGTCACTTTGAATGACCCAACCTCAAGTCACTTTTTTGCAACTTTGTCACCGTGCCAGAGCTACAGTAGATGTCGGAGGCCTTTGAAAGTCGCAGGATGTTATTAGGTCATTAGTAGCTACAATTTGTTTATCTCGGAATTTTGATGTCGGTGACCTAAGGTCAGGTCAATTTCGCGACCTCCCCATTATAAGTCAATGGGGGAAAAATCAACTCCCTGTTTTTACCACTAAAACGGGTCGGAATGGCCCCATATACCATACATGACTTCACATACGATCAACCTTCACTACCTTGAGGTCTGTTTTGCTGTTGGGCAGCTGTAAGGTCATGTGACGTCATCAAAGGTCACCAAAGGTTTTTTTGCCAATAACTCCTTACAGGAACAAGATACAGCCGCGCGGATGGTCTCATTGTGTTCAGCTCGTCAAGACGCATCGAATGATATACATGATGACCTCGAGGTCACGTGACCTGAGGTCAACCTTTGACCTTGACCTTTCCAGGTCAACATATATATCATTCGATGCGGATCGACGAGAGGATCACGATGATACCCTTAGTTTGTTCCTATCTTGACTACTTCGAAAGTTATTCGAGAAAAACCCTCTCCATATCTAGCGCCGCCATTTTGACTTTTTCGACCCCTGTGACGTCATCTTTGACCTGACCTGAAAATGACCTTAGTAAAAATTGTAGACCTTGTCCGTGCGTATCCGATGCCGTTTACCGCTTGTCGCTATCTTGCTTCGTTCTCGAGATCTCAGGGGGGGCGGTCATCCGCCCCCCCCGTCGGTACTAAGTTGGCGCAGACCCCCGTCGGTGCGCGGGTTAAAGAATGGCAGTAGATGTTCATGACCACAATGATTATGAGATAGTCATTGTTAGCCCGTGCCCCACAGGAATGCCTAGACTCTCATGCCCTGTTGGAGGGGAAATGGGGATTGAGCATCATTCTTATAACTCAGCTTTGGGCATTAGTTTTTCTCACAGACAATGACAATACAAAAACAATGTAATAAGACCAGACGTTTCGACAACAAAGTGCCTTCGTCAGTGGAAAACAAGATATAGGCTTTACATCGATAAAAAATATAGAAGATAAAGAATATATACAAAATATATATTTTTTATCGATGTAAAGCCTATATCTTGTTTTCCGCTGACGAAGGCACTTTGTTGTCGAAACGTCTGGTCATATTACATTATTTTTGTATTGTCATTGTCTGTGAGAAAAACAAAATGTCTGACTCTACTAATTTGGGCATTTAAGTGGTATTCGAAGTAGCGTCGAAAGTAGCAAAAAGAAGAAAAAAATACTTCAGCCAATTTTAGATCGGTTCGGAGCAAAAGGTCATGTCACCAGAGGTCATCGATGGTAAAATTTTGCTTGGACAGGGTGCGTTGTGCGCACCGGTGCATTGGGTTTCCAATTTCCATGGAAACATCAACAGACTCAGAAGCTCGTAACGCTAGCGTGGAGCCGAATTCATATCAACCGCCGCTACAATGCATGGCAGCGCAGCGCAGCGTGCTGCAGCGCGGGGCCGTGAAACACCGCCCAGGGCTATCCATGTGTCAGGGCAATCCAATCCACGTGATGGGCTCGGCCCCAGCGGAGCATGAGGCTCAGGACTCCCGCCCAGGCCCCCTGTCTCCCCCTAATTCCTGTCATCCTTCCCACTCTGAAATCGACCGTAAGAGTCTAACCTAACACAACAAGCAGCTCGTTTACCGCTATGTCTGAATAATATTGTCAGATTTAATTAAGGTCAACGGCTTAGCACGTAAATAACAGCAACTGCCACCATCGGTATTATGAGAAAACCAATTGCTTTTCCACAAACACTAGAAGTTTTAAGCTAAACTTGCATGAAATTAATTTTACCAGCCTCGTGTTCCTCTTATCAAAACGCCTAGAATGAATCAAAAGTGATCTTCAACCCTCGCCGGCACAGGCTATTTTGCATCCTTCGACGGCACAGGGGGGGGCACGACCCCCCCCCCTCGCGCTTCCCCTGATTGAGCTAGAGCTTCGCGGAAAAAACGAGCGTGTTGCCCGTCACGAGAGGAAGCCGATGATACCCAATTTTAAGGTCCTAGGTCATCGGGTGACCTTCCAGGTCAGGTCAATGACCCGAAAATCGGGAAAATGGGGACCTGTTAGAAAGTCGTAAAGTGTGGCTGCTATGGGGTTTTCCGGGGTGCTGATCACGAATATCGTGTAGTTTTGATCAGAGATGATGTCTTAAAGCATTTAGACCAGGTCGGGTCAGGTCAGGTCAGGTCAACCGGTAGGGGTCACGACGGGTATTCGTAATAGCTGTCATCCGCCCCTGACAGCTTCGTAACATGTTACGAAGGCACCAAAACTACTTCGTAAATGTTCAAATGGTTGCTAAATTCGAATTCAGCTCCAAAATCTAGCGTAGAAACATGTAAAACTCGAAAAAGTGAACCGAGGTCACCAAAGGTCAATGACCTGACCTGACCTTCAGGTGATTCAGATGGTCAAAGGTCATTTGGGTCAGGGTCATGAAATTTTCAGGGTAGGTGTAAAATTTATCAATGCGAGGGTACTGAAAGTTTCGTCGCGATCGGCCGCTTTTTACGCGAGTTATTCGCGAAAAACCTTAGGGAGGGGGGGGGGTTTGCATCAACCCTCCCTCCCTTTGCCGGCGAGGGAGGCCATTTGAAGAATTTGGCCTATGTTCAAAGACATGACCTGACCAGAAATGGTCATGATGGATAGCAGGATATTAGATCCGTATCGTGAAACTTTACAAACACTTTAGATGATTTCATAACTTAAGCATGTCTATCAAAAATATTTATCACATGGCTCATGTGTAAGCTGGGGGTGTGATCATGCTTACGAGTATGTTGAACGCAACTGATAATGTTCTGTTGGCCACAATTTCTATATTTAATTTATCCTCCCGGATTTCATATTTTTATTAATGACACCTTGACGATGTCGAGAAAAAAAAAACGCTTAGGAGATTTAACAGCCTGAGATACATTCAGAATAAGGAAGGGTCAAGGGTGCTAGATTCCTTCCGTCCTCGCTATCCTCAGGAAAAACCAATCCGCATCGCCCCTTGTCTTCATGCTTCCCTCTCTGGACTGGAGGTCACCCCACCAGCCAACCTGTAGTTGATGTCGGTTCCATTCCAAGACACATAACCCTCTTCGGGTTACCGT